CAGCTATAAGTGGGGTTGTAAGTCCCCTAATATAGTATAGTTCCCCTACTTATAACCCCATGTATAACTACCCATGAACCCTAAACCCTAAACCCTAAACCCTAAACCCTAAACCCTAACCCTTATAGTAACCCCATATTTATAACTACCCATGAACCTCCAAGTAGCAGCCGAGCAAAGCTGCGGAGGCATCATCAGAACAGCCTACGAGGCTCGGACCTCTGGCTTTTGCAGTCAGTCGGTTGTTGTTCTTCTCATTATCAGTATCATTGTCGTTATTACTATTGTTGTTATTATTATGATAATTGTTATGGTTAGTACCATGTATTGTTTAGTATACTTGTCATTATCATTCTTATGATTTTGACGGTTAATGCTATTGTTATGGTCGTGGTGGTCCGGGCAACCGAGTGACCCGAGGCTTCCGGCGCTTGCGTATGAGCCACGATCCGGTGGAGGAAGCATTCTTCGAACGTGCCTGCACGAGGGTTTAGGGTTTAGGGTTAAGGGTTTAGGGTTTAGGGTTTAGGGGTTTAGGGTTTAGGGTTTAGGGTTTAGGGTGTAGGGTTTAGGGTTTAGGGGTTAGGGTTTAGGGTTTAGGTCTGCCTGCACGAGTAGATGATTACGACTGTCACTTTGGTTTTTGTTCAGAAACGTGAGTAGTAATGTCGTAGCTGTTGTTCTGCATCGCTACTGCCGGTTCCATGATGAACCTCATGCTTACTGTTGCTAGTTAGCAGCAAGGCACGGTCATTGCTGTCAAACTGACGGTTGTGATCATTATGCCTCCCTGGGTTCCTCTTAAACGCGACCAAGTTCACACGACTCCATTTACAAACGTCCAACGGGTAGCGGTGAAGGTCCGCATCTTCCATGCCTTCCCTGGGAACGATTGTCCAGCTGCACGCAGACACGTAGAAGCCCTGCAAGCCCTTGACCGTTTGGGATTTTCCTTATTATTAATGTGGTACAATGGGCCCCAGAACCCTATTCTAATTATTAAGGCCTATATAGTATAATGGCCGCAAAGCCATATTCTAATTATTAAGGCACCTTTTCTGGACTGAAGGAGGAGTTCTTCAACTTCAGAGGCCTGGACAAGGAGGATGCCCAGGAGCCCGTTTGGCTCTCGGTGCAGGCACGGAGTTCCGGGAACTCTTTTTGGTGATTGTTTGGGGTTAGGGTTCAGTGTCTGGGGTTTAGGGTCGGTTCTAGGCTAGCAGGTTGATGTGAGTAGTCTTCGGTTTCTTGTTCTCCCCTAAGGTGGGGAGCATCATTGTTACGGGTTGACGTGTTTCGATGTTGACTGGTCGTAAGGTCCTGTCTGGAACGAACATGATTGATCAAGGTGCATGCGGCTGAGTGTTTTGCGACACGCAGCTATCCCATCATCGGCAGCATTGCAGTGTGGGATGTCCGGTGAGGTCCGGGCCCACCACCCAAAGTCTCAGGTTTTCGAGCCGAAGCCTTAAGTTCCCTTCCTAACCTGTCTCGCGATAGATAGCGAAATCGGAACACAGTAGTCTGCTTTGAGGTAGGGGCAGTCCGCATGGTTCAGCGTTGTCAATCCAGCGAGCATTCAGGCTTTCATCCTCCATGTGTGCTGCCGCCAGCTGCGTGCGGCGAAGCAGCTCATCAACAAGGCCTCGTGGGGAGCTGCAACATGGGATGCATCTTGAGCCCCAACTTCACCAAACAGGGCTAAGGAACCGAAGTCCCAAGTCCGCAGCTTAAGCCACGAGCCATAACAGGGCCCACGCCTTCCTCAGGCCAGCAAGCACTTGGAGTTTGCTGGGCTCTACTCCTGGCGCGCGGCCGGGGGTAAGCCCTTGAGCCAAGCAGATGTTTGGGTTTCCAGTTTGGGGCCTTTGGTTTCTGGGACACTAGGTCAGGTGCAAGTTTTGTGGAATTTCGGGTGTAGCCAGTGTACGGAGGCGTCTGCGCGTAGCAGGAGTATATCTTCGTGCAGGTGGTGCGCAGTACTTCAGTTCTTGATGTCAGGTTTTTGTCACCGTACGCGACATTGGACTCTGTAATGATTGCACTGCCCACATGATGGGACGGTTTGGTGAAGGCGAGTGCGAGTCATAGACGAAGAGGACCCAAAGGCTCAAACTAAAATACGAGCCGCATGATCTTGTATGATTATCATGATGATTTTTCATTGTTATTAGGATGCTTGTGATCATAAAGTATTATTTCATTGCTGTTATTTTTTGTTGTGATTATTGTCGTACTGCTCGTTGTTATGTTCAAGCTTGTTGCTGTCGTTAATGCACTTATTACTTATTACCCTACATCTAGGAGTCTTGGAGCGTGGGGACGTGTTGCCGTGCCTGCCTTGACTTGAGCGTAACTCTCGAAATCTGGGAGTCTCATATTTTTGAAAGCTTTGCAAGGGAGAGGCTTGCTGGAGATGCAAGTAAGGATATTTTCGAAAGATCTGGAATGCATCATCTCTCCGATGGGGCCGTTTGTCGCACGCTGTAGGGTTGCGGGTCGGCTCAGGTTCATGGTGGAGATCCAGGGCGGCGAGCACTTGGAGTTTCCGGTGCACCAGCTGCAGTCCGCAGCGGGAGAGGGATCAGCTCCCCACACTTTCAGGTATCAGGCAGGGCTCAGGAGCTGAGATCAGCAGGACGATTCCTTCATGAAGGGTTTCTGGTATTTTCTATTGGGGCTTAAACCGGCTTAAACCAGAAAACCTCTAAACCCTACACCATAGACCCTTAGACCCCAAGGTCAGCTGCAGAGACCGCTCGCTCTTCGAAGCAGAACGGCGCTGGCTCTGCGAGGCCATTCGATACGGGTTGGTCCAAGGGCTGCCATCCGGGTTTGCATGAGGGTTACCGTGTAGGGACCCAGAACGGTCTTACAGGTTGGCTATAATATAAGGGTTCTATCAGGGTTTGAGTTGTTTTTGTTCTGTTTTTTTCGCCTTCTTATGGCTTTCAGGTCTGGAGGGAGGGATTTGAAGGTACTGGGTTCCGGTAAAGCTGAAGCTGCGGTTGAGGACTTGGGGTCTGAAGGATTCAGATTCGGGGACTCTGGGGAATGGCTTTGGTTTATTTTGGATCGTTTTTTCCCAAAAAAAGTATACGCAGTACAAGTTTCTCTGGGTTATCTACTATGTATTTGTTTGCTTGTCTGTATCTCTGCCTCTCTGTCGGAAGCCTTAGCCAGGTGGTGAACCATCGGCTACAGCGAAATTGGGGCCGGATGGCGGGCTTCTTGCGCGAGCTGCGGGCTGGGCCAGCCGCTGGGCTCTCCTGGCTTTGGAAGTCTCTGCGCCGTGTGGGTAGTTTTCAATGTTAGGGTCCCTTTGAGGGTCCTTTTTATAAGGGTGCCGTGCTATATTGGGGACCTAAAAAGGACCCTAATTTAGAGAACTACCCGTGTTCGTTTGCTGTCAGCATGACGATGATTCTTGCTACTGTTTTCGAGTTCTCAACGTCTTAGTAGTCTACGGTAGTGCCACAGCCTGAGCTGTTTGACATCCGGGCTCCCACGAACCCTGCGCCGAGGAGGCAGAGCCCTTTCTCCGCACTTCGGAGGCAGATGGACCTAGCAGCGCAGGCGGGATCTTACTGACACCAAAGCCGTTCTTACCCCAAAGCCTCAGACCCTCATGAGGAATGGTAAACAAGGGCAGGGGTCAGGAATTTGGATCTCCTGGGTTTTGAGAGCTGATGCCAACAACTCCACCAAACCTGTAGGGAACTCAACGGAATACAACAAAAAACAGTTCTTATGGAGAGAACACTTTTGGACACAAATCGAACAACCCTGACAGAGCCCTTCGAGGACCCTTTCGGAATTCATACAGGCCCCATATAGAACCCTGCCACAGCCCTTGAAAACTCATATGCCGCCCTGATAGAATCTGATAGATCTCATGAGTGGCACTTGAGTCACGCTCATAACCCTTGCAGAACCCTTTGAAAGTTCTGCAGGCGCAGTGGTCGACCATGCCGCCTTGGCCGCGACACTCTGCCGCCCCGGCAAAATCTGCCATGAAAACCATGCGCATAACAGCATTGAGTGTTTGGGTTTGGGATGTGGAGCCTCAATGATGATCGGTGTCATTGCACTATTAATATACCCCGAAGCCGCTCTGTTGTGCAGGGGCGAACATGGCCACCGCAGTTTTTGGCTTCAAAGATCCTGCGAGGTCGTCTGTCGTGTTGTGAAGCAGCTCCTCCCCCTGTGACGATGGCACGCGCTTCGGTGATGGCAGCAGCAGCCATGCTCTTTGCACCGCTCTGCTTCGTTGCGCCTGGTCCTTTTCAGGTGGCTCCAGTTATGCGACAGGCAAGGTCCAGCGGCAGCGGGCGCCAGCAAGCACCCGCGATGTCGGCAGCCTTGTGTTTGACTGCAGCCATGGGAGCAGCATTCCTGAAAAAGGACATGGGCAAGGCCATGCAGGCTTCGAAGACAACGCGACGCTACACGACCCAGACCATCGTCCCGAGTTTGCAGTGGCTCAAGACTGGACTTCGAGGCAACGACTTGCAACCTGGCGAACTCAAGGCTTACGGCATTGCCGGATGCGATGTGTGCGTTGGTAAGACGCAAGACGGAAAGCTGTTCGCTGTTGGCGACAAGGCCCCTCCTACCGGCACATCCTTGAGTGTGGGCGCTGAGGTTCAGGGAAGTAAGATCTTGGATGGGCAGTTCGGAAACGTCTTTGACTGTTTCACTGGCCAGCCAGAGGGTGATTGGTGCCCTTCGCCGCCGGGGATCGGCAAGTTCGTCGCCTGGTTCATTGGACGGAAGGAGGCACTTCCAACGTTCGAGATTCGCGAGGCCTTCCTCTCAGGTGACATCGAGGTCATGGTCGACACCAATGCAAAGGCTGCATACGAAAGCTGGTACTGGAAGGGTCTCCTGGATGCCCAGGG